GTGTATTTTAGATGTTTTTTCTATATTTGTCTAACTTTGTCTATTTGGGATTTTAGATATATCTTATATTCTCCGAGGTTTACATTAGATAATGCCTCATTTCCATATTTAAACCTAACATAAGATCATTTGCAATATATGTTAATGCAATGAATAATTATCTCAATGTAAGTGAGCAACTAGAGAAGTTTCAATGTGATATTTATCAATCAAAATGTTTACCCTATCACATGTAATGTCTTAAAAATTGATTAAACCGTGTAATTCTATACAGGGAACACAGGGATTTTAGCCTTTGCAGACCATTTACATGCACACAAACCACACTAGAGGAAAGTAAAATCCCAAAAAGCATGATAAGGCCTCTTTAAAGGATGTCTTTATCTATAAGTATATATACATACCTAAGATTTTCATCGACATAACTACACTGTAGCTATGTAGGAAAGACAATAAAAGCCTTGAATCTTGAATATACATATTTAAAAAGCTTGTATTACAAAACAATCAAACCTCGGAAGTATCATGATGATATATATCAGATACAATTCTCCCCTTTTCACCTGTAGTGCTTCCCCCTGAAGGTTTTTCCTCATATGCACTTGGCCCTAACCATGGCCTGCTGGGTCCCCACCCTGTGTGTTCTCACAGAATCAATACTGCAGCGCTTCGGTACAAGCAGCTACAAAAGTTCCAGCCAGTAATGGGCAGCTGCAGAAGGAATAGTAACAGATTTGGATCTTTGGACGGGCTGAAAAGAAGCTGTTTCACTGGGCAGCAGCAGCAGCAGGGTGCTAACAGGAATGACAAACAGGGTGCAGAAGCAGAATGAGTGAGTGTTAACCCCTGAAGGATTGAAAATCATCTGAGAGACAGAGTGTGTGTCGATCAATATTTCTCTCTCATACACACAGTGGTGTAAAGTACACTCACTCACGTACTGCATTTACAGTTTTGAGGTACTTTACTTGAATATTTCCATTGTATGCTACTTTCTACTTTTTTTCCACTACATGTATTTAAAGGGCCCATGTCATGGCCATTTCCACTGATCATAATTACATTGTTGAGGTATACTAAAATAGATTTATACTGTGCAATTTTCCAAACTCACATTGGTTTCGCATACAGCATCTCTGTCAAGCATGTGTATTCAGCAGTATTCACTTTCTCCACTAAACGACTTGTTGGAGCTCTTGCCCCCCCCTCCCTGTGAGCCTAGTGTGCTCCGATTGGTCAGCTCGGCCACTCGTTCTGATTAGTCAACCACCAGAGAGGCTGCGCCCATGTCAGTGCTTTTCCCGGCTGCTCTCAGCGTAACATCAGTCTTATCATGGCGTCGGTACAGCGGTATATTTTATATACATATATATTTTTAACTGTTGTTATAGTAGAGTGTGACGGCCTCAGGGCCTTTGTCTTACGATGGGGTGGAGCTGAAGAGGCTAATCGGCACGATCACGGACACCTCCGGACACAGTCTCTCTCCAAAGCGGCTGCAGGAAGACTAACTCTGCGATCCTCTCAACCACCTGTCTCTGCATTTACCACAATAAATGTGCCGTGGTTTTGTAAACTCGTGTATGTCTCCTTGCCTTTCCGTTGTGGCCTACGAGCTACTCTCATAACAAAGAGTAAGTTATTTTTACCCGTTATAAACTACTACTGTTTGATGAGAAATCAAATCATGGTTTGCTATATATGAATTCAGGGAAGAAAGGATAGGCCTACTAAGTATTTCCATTAAACTTTATTTTTAGAAATGTACAAAATGAACATAAATATACATATATACACGGTATATCATCCATTCCTCCTCCTCGCATCTTGCCTGCGCACAGTCGGTGCGGTGCCTTTTAGCACGACGCCTCAGTAGTAGTAGAATCCCTTCCCCGTCATGGATTGTCCGCCAGGATCTGGCTGGACGAAATCAAATGCAAATCATAAAATATTAGAGAAACTTAGTTGTTTTAGACTCGTTAGTAGTAGTTGTGTAATGAACAGCTTGCCTGCTAATATGCTAACCTAGCTTTGTTTACCTTGGTAGCTAACACGATATGAACGTTAGCTTGGAGGAAAGGCAACTATAATGCAGTGTAATCAAACTACTATGAACAAAAGCTAGTGGTTCATATTAGGCTAGCAATAACGTGTTTATAATTGCAATCGTATACGGGTATTCTGCTACGTTCGGTCATACAATGTAACTTGCATGAATACATTGTTTTGCGCTAGCATACAGCTAGCCTCGTTAGCTACATGCAGTATATGTACGGTCACAATGTACGGTAAATCACAGTACAGTATACTGTATGAGTATTCCGTGTGTGTGACTGCAGACATTCTCCTGCCATGACAAACATGTAAGGCCATCTGCTGACATTGTAGTTGATATATTTAAACGCTAGCAACGTAGCATCACAAAAATGTTTTTCTGACCAAAACTAGCTCTAGCTCCGTGTGTTAGATCGCTACGCCAGCTATAATGTAATTACGTTTCGCGACTGACCGGCAAATCACCCGGAGTATACTGTCAATAGGTATTTTGTGTGTGAATGCAGACATTCTCCTGCTATGAGATACATGTATGCAAGGCCATCTGCTGATATTAGAGTTGATATATGGAAACTCTAGCAACTTAGTTAGCACAGTTAGCACTGTGTCAATGGCTTAGCAGTCCAACACAGTTTACACATTTAAACAGTCTTGTTTGATAAATACACAAATAACAATGCAAACTTACAGGTTGTATACCCAGATCTTCCCCTGCTCCAAACGGTCCAAACAAGCTGTGCATATCCGGCCTCAAACTGGGCAATGTTTTGGAAGCTTTCGTCTGTGAAATGCCGGTTCTTCGAACCTCTGGAGGAGGAACACGCCGCTGCTGGTGTGGCCATAGCTCTTCGGGATTGGTCCATTTCGTTCCGGGTACCGCATGACATCAGGCGGTACCCGGAACTAAATGGAAGACTCAAATGGGCAGTGACGTATCTCCAACGAGGCGTTTTGGGGAGGTATTTTCTGTGTTAGAGTTTTACTCGCTACAGGGTGTACTTTGAGGGTTTTGACTCTGCACACCGTTTACATGCATAAAAACCTTCATAACACACAAGGGGACGGGTAATAACCGGAAAAGCATGACATGGGAGCTTTAATACCTTTTAGTTACTTCACAGATCTGGATGAATGATGTGAAATATAATCAAGTGTTAACTCAGACTTTAGTTCCACCTGGAGTAAATCCACAAGCTACCCTGTAGTATACAAAGTCATTCAAACTAGCTGCACCTTTACCAGCTTTGAGAACACTTTAATGATCAATCATTATAAAACACATCATATATATTATTCTGAAATGGACCAATCTGCACAATGACTACTTTTTACTGTCGCTACTTTAAGTATATTTAGATGCCAAAACTGTTGTACTTTTACTTGAGTAACATTTTGAATGCAGGACTTTTACTTGTAACAGAGTATACCTACACTCTGGTACTTCTACTTTTACTTCAGTACAAGATCTGAGTACTTCTTCCACCTCCTCATACACACACATTTATTTCTCCACACACACAAACGTATACTGTACAGCTCTGCTATCATGGGATCAAGAGAAGGTGATTAATCCAACATGGTGATCGGACCATATGGAGACAATGCTGACTCACTTCCCACTGGAGCTCTCACAAAAACACACACACACAAACACACACACACACCACTTGCATCATCGCCGCCAATAACAAATACAGACATGCATACAAAACAGCCGACAGCCGTCTATAACTCTGGATTGGATTCCATTCTCAGGACCCCATTAATTCCTTATGGATTCTCATATTGATTTAGAGGCCTCTGGTCTTGTTAATTCAACCCAGCCCCAGACAGGGTTTGATTCAGATGTGTAGCCTCAAGGTGACTGCTACTTGTAAGGAACGGGTGAATAAAGCCCAGGAAGGCAGTAAGGAGGTGAACAAGAAGGACATAAAAGAAGGGATATGATCAAGAGACTCACAGAGGTACTGGCAAAGAGTGAACATGAGTGTAAAGAAGGCAAGACAACGGCAACAACAACAGAAAGAGTAAACAATATAGGAAGAACATTTGAAAGAAATTGGTTAACGATGTATGGATATCCACTCTTGGATGAAAAACAGAGAAAATGAATGTCGTTATCAATTACTCATTTCCATCTTTATGCATTAGGAGGTTTTATTTTCACTCTGTTCTTTTTTTTCATTAGCTCATTATGCTAATGAGGCGTTACATAAAACCCTCTCTGTGAAAAACAACTCGGAGGTTATTCCCGTGTTTGTGTACATGTGTGTGTGTGTGTATATTCTTTTGAATAAATATGGAGTATGTCTTTCTATGCTTGCTTGTGCACACAAACATGACGGCCAAATGCAAACATTTGATGAATCACCGATTGATTAAGATGACTCTGCACTCTGCAGTAATTAATTGGGCTGCAGTAATAAGATAAGTCGCATAACTTTAGACAAAGGACAAAGACCCGTAGAGAGTGATCTAACAAGTAACTAAATATACATTGTGTATGTGGTGAAATGTATAATATTTAACTGCTGGTTCACAACCTAGCCATGTGCCATAAGTCAGAAAGAGGACAACTTATATTCTATCTTTTCTAGACACTTTTTTGCCTTTTTCTCATACAAGGAAATGCCATTATCAGCGGTTGAGAAGATATCAATTCGGAACATGTTGTTCTGTCTTCTGCAACTTTGCTACCAGGGTGAGAATGGACTGAGAGGCGTTATTTGTCATTTGTCAGGCTGAGTGTCCTGCTACCTGTCTGATGGCCAACCACTGCTTTCATCCCTCTCCTTCCTTACCCATCTACAGTTTGTCTTCGCTTCAACTCAAATTGTATTTTAAAGCTTTCTATTCTTTCTACTGGTTGGCTTTTTACTTTTGTATTATTTTGTTTTTCGTTGTTTCCAATCTAACCGCTTCCTCCCTTTCTTCTTTATCCTCAGCTTTAGAAAAAGTCGGCCGTGACTCCAGTTACGAGCAGGAGGGGAAGGTTCAGTTTGTAATGGACGCCGTGTACGCCATGGCTCACGCTCTGCACCGCATGCACCGGGACCTCTGCTACGGGTACCCCGGCCTCTGCCCGCGCATGGCTAGCATCGACGGCAAAGAGCTGCTCGGATACATCCGCGCTGTGAACTTCAACGGTGAGTGAGACCCTCGTGGTGTGGACACACTCAGGTGTAACCACACACACACACACACACACACACACACACACACACACACGCACACGCACACGCACACGCACACGCACACACATACACTACTAACAGAACATCTAACAGAGCGAAACTCACTCTGCCATCTGACCTTATAACCCTTCACTCCATCCCATCCTTCATGATTTCTCCTTTTATCCAGTGTCTTGCAGCTGTGCTCAAACCATCAAGTGCTCAATGGTGTATGGTGAAGAACACGGCACACAAATTGGCTATAACGTCAGGTTATTCCTTTAGAAACACACATAAGGGCACTCAGAGAGCTCAGATTTCAGCTAAGGCAGTTTCCATAAGTAAAACATTAAAGTGGACCTATCATGCTATATTTGAATAATATAGTGTAGGACCATACCTATATAAGGCATATTTATACTTTTTTTTTTTTCAAAATACCAAACAGATCATGCATTTTAGCCATGCCTCATTTTGCTCAATTTGACAATTTCTAGCTCTGTTTTTGCAAGGGCAGATTCAGTGAGAACAGCACCATCTACAGGCCTGGCATATGTACTACAGCGTCTCCAGCGCTTTCTAACGTCAATGGCCGTGGCTGTCTCCTCCTGATTGGTGGAGTTGGCCCAATAGCCGTAGCGCCACCGTCCTGACGTCAGGACAGTGTTCAAATCTGGATCAGTTTTTATCAGATCCGTTGCAGCCCCTTTTTTAGAGATTTGGGTATGGAGGAAAATAGAGAGGGTTGTGTTTTCTGACACTTGGTGAGTTCCCTGGAACACCGGGGACACATATTCATGTATAAAAGACGTACAAAAGTGCATTTTGCATGATAGGCCCCCTTTAATGCATGTATCTGCTTTGGATTCAGATCCATTACATGTATTTGGTTTCGTGCTCAGACACTGGACACTAGCCCTAACCCTGATTGTCCAATTCTACTCATTATTTAACAATGATGTGCTTCTAATTTGTCTAATCCTTATTATAAAAACATGTCAAGTAGTTTCACCTTCAAATTTAAATAAATCTTGCTGCTTTCCCCTTTTAATTTCCAGATTTATACTTAGTTTTGTCTCTTTTTAAACTTGTAGTACTAAATATTTTATTCCCCTTCTCTCTCCATGACTTCCTCCACTGCTGACAAGTTTAAGTTTGTGAAAAACATACAATCATTTCCTAAATAATATCCGTCACCTCATTTGAATATTCTCCTATTAATCCAATTTCCCAAACCCCGATGCGCCGGTACCTGCTTTTCTGTCAGCCTTTTCATTTCCTGTGTTCCTTCTTCAAGCATTGTGTTGAATACATATGGGAGAGAGAAGCAGGCGATAGAGAGAGGTGTTATTGTGAGGGGCTTGTCTGATTTAGTTTTAGAGGCAGGCTTGAAATTGCATGAATGTGTCTGTGTGGGAATGTGTCTGAGTGTTTGTTGTTACCTGCTATCTGTACGTGTCATCGCTAGAAGTGAAGAAAGCCATTGACAGGCAGACACTGATTGCTGTTTCATTCTGCAACAACCGGGTTTCTCTGTTATTGCTGGCCTAGAGGGTCGAGAAATCATCCCATAACCGCAAGGTCACCAACTTTATACCCCAATGAATCATCCTTCTCACTTACTGATTGGTACAAGATTCAAGATTCAAGGCTTCAATTGTCATTTGTACACAGGGCCGTCCCTCCCTACAGGCCGATCATGCAGACTGCGTGGGGCCTCACCTTGCGGAGAGGGCCTCACCTTGCGGGGGGAGCCTCAACTGAGCCGCAAATGTGGCGCACCTATGCGCAATTAGTGTCGCCCCCCGTCGACGCTCGCGAAACAGAGGGCCTCATCATATAACTTTGCGTGGGGCCTCCGGTTGGCCAGGGACGGCCCTGTTTGTACATAGCTACAGTGTAGTTATGTCGATGAAAATCTTAGGTCCCAAATGTACTACGCTGTATTTTGAGAGGACATAACAAACTGGATTCAATTGATCTAAAAGATAACAGTTTAATGTTGGCCCCATACTGAAAATGTTTCATATGATGCCTTCAGATAGCTCTAAGGAAAGTTCCAGTTAAAGGGGCCCTATTTAGCAAATGGTCAGGTTCATCTTTGTATTTACTGTGAGATATCTTCATGTTTTAATGTTCAAAAAGGTCTTTATTTTCCTCATACTGCCTGTGCTGCAGCACCTCTTTTCACCCTCTGTCTGAAACCAGAGCCCAGTCTGCTCGGATTGGTTAGCTGGTTGGCTCTGTTGTGATTGGTCAACCGCTTAGAGATGTCCCGCCCCTTAGCCTATCACGTACAATGTGTTGGAGATATAGCCAATAGAAGCACGAGTGTTACATTGTAACTATTTTACAGAAGTTAACAAAGGAGTCCAATAGACGCGTTTCAGGCAGGGTGGAGTGTGCGAGAAAAATCTCATTTGTATTCATACATATTTATATCTGTCTGTATCACATGTTACATATATAGTCAGACAGGATGCCACTTCATCACACCTATTAGATATGTTATATTCCAAAGCCAATGTCACACTCTGACGCATTGACACTGATTCATGAAGTGCAAAAACATTTACAGATTATCTTAAAAAAGCAGAATATCTTTATCAAAAGTACGTTGCAATCTTTCTTCTTCCCATAGCAATATTTGGTACATTTGATTTATAAAAGTTTTTGCACACAGTTTGATTGGTTGCCTTGAAAAAAAAAATGTTCTCCCAGCCTCCAAAAAACGAGTTGTGTTTATATGGTGATTTCATTTATTTGCATAATGATAAAACACAGAAGTGAACTGATTACATTCGCAAAAGTTTGCCACAGAAATACAGTGGGGGGTTTAATACCTCGGTGATTTGGATTTTGTTTTACTACAGAGCTTTGATATGATGATATACAGTGAAATAAAAAAATAACTGGTGGCAAATGTAGGACTTTAACAGCTTGTACACCTCTCTGTAATTTCCTAATGGCAGTTATTGAAGTTCAGATGCAATATCATCTCAGTTCTTCATTTAAAAAGAATATACACTTTAACTTTGGGTACTTTTATCCATGTATTTGTCCTTAAATGTTTAAAAGGCTTCTTTGGAACCGAAGACAGTTCTCAGGCTCTCTTATCTGTGTTGTTTCTTCAACAGCAGCTTGCAAGATTTTAAACCTTTTAAGCCGGCTACTTTATATGTAAATGCCTGGGTATATGTTCGTGTTCCAATTAAAAGTCGTTTTTTTTTTTACTGATCTGTTTCGGGTCGGCATGACATTGATAACTCTTAAGAAGAAGGCGGGCAAAGATGGAGGTTGTTCGATCTGACTTTGTGGTAAATAAAGAAAGAGGAGAGGGAATAAGTTAGAGTTGCTAGAGCGTGAATTCTCTTGCTCTCTTCTGTTCCTGGAACCATACCGATTCACCTTTTGGAGAAGCTACACTAAAGGAACCAGACGGAGCGAGAGGGAGGAGGGAATTCCAAGTTGTTAGGGCACTGATTGTTTTCCTCTTGGATCCGTGCCAAGTGCCGAGTCATTTAAAAAGTCCAGCCCTGGCTTTCTGGATGGAAATCGGCTCCAACAAAATTGGTTTCCCAAAATGGTCTTCATGATTCATATTCCTTGATGAAGATCTATTTGTAAATGTAAAAATGTAGAGGTGAGGTTTAATGCCTAAAAGATGATATATCAGTCAGCATTTAAAGAGGACATAGTATTCTTTCTCAGGATCATATTTGATTGGTTAGCTGGCTGGCTCTTTTGTGATTGGTCAACCGCTTAGAGATGTCCCGCCCCTTAGTTTATAATGTGTTGGAATACAAAAGAAGCATGAGCATTACACAGTGATGTCAATATGTTACAGAAATAAACAAAGGAGTCCAATTGAGGCGTTTCAGGCAGTGTGTGGAAAAAAACAACATATTTTAATAGTTGTAATATTTTATTATTACATATTATATACAGTTATATACATATACATCGATATATTCTTACCCAAGCCAACACTCACATGCATTCATATAAGAAGCATTTAGAAACTGAAGCACCCACATACTAAGGACACTATGAGAAATTCAAACTAAAACAAAATGCAAATTGGACGTTCAACTTTCTGAAAAGAGAATCTTGATTCAAGGTCTCCGTTAGACTTTCTCTGACCTGCAACCGCTATATTTTAGATTACAGAGCAATCAGCAATCAAACTACATTAACGATGTGATCTGTTCAATCAGGGATGTGTAATTATCGCCCACCTTCCAATGCTACTGCGGCATCCTTGACCCAATATTCTAAATGCCTATTGCGTTTTGGAGTTCTTTGTAGTACACTCAGCTTAAACTAATCTAAAAGAACACACAAACTCACCAAGACAATTTCACCAATGTGTGTGTCTTCATTTATTAGATTTTTATTTCATTCTTTTTCTGGTTAACTCCTGCCTTTTCTTGGTCTGCAAACTATAACGAAACATTTCTGATTGGAATCTAAGAAGCAACATATATTCTTTATGGAGACTTTTTCATATCACTTTGTGGTATTTTTTTATTCTTAAATGACTTAGCAACTGCATTTAAAACTTTAAGAGTATAGTCAAACAGAGACTTTTATGTTTTTCAGCCAGATTTGCATCACCAAATGTGCCAGTGAATGCAAATGAACATTGCCTAACTTCGCTCCATGCTGCCAGTTCCATGAGCTCCCCTCCGGATGGCACGTTTTGTGTCACCTGGAGGACTTCCCAGGCACTGGCAACATAGAGGATAGCCAAACACCATTCATTTGGACTCACAAAAACACTGTTTGATAAAAAGCTGGAATGGAAATGGCATTTCCCTTCCAGTGTTGGACAGACAAACTGCTGAGATACAACCATGTTTACAACCTGTTTTTAAAAATGAGCTAATTTGGCAATCTTACCGTTAGATCCAATGGTTGCCCATCTCTAGCAAATAACTAGCTACAGTATCTAGCATTTATTTCTGTAACTT